TCAGCTATAATTTCTCATAAATTCTCTTTTATCAATAAGTCCATATATTTTAAATTCTGGAAACTCCAACAGGAAACTTTATACCTTCCTCACTTAAGAGTTACCTTAGCATGACTTTTATAATGTGAAAGCAAAGCCAATAAATTAAAATTGTCCATCTTACTAACTTTGATACACACACACACACACACACACACACACACACATGTTGTGTGTGTGGCCAGCTCAGCCCACCCTGGGGGCAGAGCTGGTGCAGCATGTATTGTGGGGGATCGAACTGCAGTCCCTGTGCTTTGCCTAAGCAAGTGCTTTAGATTGCTGAGCTATCTCACCAGCCCTAGCTTTGCTATATATTAAAATAAATAACCAGTTTCTTTGTAAGCACAGTTTTCACTGAATATATTATCATATACATTTCCATGTCATTAAATTTTATTCTACTTTTTATGTGTGGTACTGGGATTAAACCCACAGCCTCACATATGCTAGGGAAGTGCTTTACCACTTAAGTGCATTCCAAGTCCTTTTTAAATTTTGAATTTTGAGACTAGGTCTCACTATGTTGCCTGGCTTGCCTTGAGCTTGTGATACTTCTGCCTCAATCTCTTGAGAAGCTATAATTCCATGCATGTGCCACTACCTCCTATTTTTAAATCAGCTTTTATCACTCTAACATTTTCCCTCTAAAGCTGTTGGAATTTCCACAGCAGTATTCACTTTTTCACATTCCACAAGATCCTTCTAGTAATGGCAACATCATGGTTACACTGCACGGGCTTACATAAATTGACACATATACTACAGCCAGTTTGGCTAAAATGTCAAAATAAGATCAATTCTGGATGGTTAGAATTTATTGACAGATACCAAAAAAAAAAAAAAAAATTATTAGGTACCAGCTGGCCAAGTAGCTCAGTGGATTAAAGCACCTGCTTAGGCAGATGCAAGGGCCAGAGGTCTGATCCCTGGCCTGCTGTGCCGGCCCCGCCCCCAGGGTGTGCTGAGACAGCGATTGAGACTGGGAGTGGTAGCATGCACCTGTAATCCCAGCACTTTGGAGGCTGAAAACAGGATCACTATGAGTCGAACCTGTACTAAATACATGAAAAAAAAAAATAAGAATTAGGTACCAAGATGTGCTTTGGTTGATTTGCTCCTCAGAACATATATAAACACAAAAAGTACAGAGCTGTTGTCAGAACCTAGTAGGTTTAAAGGTGTTTGTAGCAATGTTTTCCTCTTTCTCCTTACCTTAAACCAGTAATTAGAAAACTTCTTGTGATAAATTGCTGATTTCCCTGACATTTTATGATACCTAATGAAGAAAGATCGTTAAGTTAAAAAATCCCTAGTACAATGAGGAATCCATTTTCTTTCAGGGAGCAGCAGAGAAGTAAAGCCATGTTAAGACCGAGGGCCTGCTAGTCAGCTTAAGACACATTTACCAAGCACCTTCCATGAGTACAGTGTGGTATTTGGCTGCTGTGTTTCAAAGTGGTGGGCAGTTTACTGAGAAGGATATGGAAGGAAAATCTTAAAACATATACTCAATAGTAGTTCACCTTACTATAGCTTAAAAGTTTAACAGTTTGGGTTTTAGATGATTCCACTTCTTCCTCAGTTCAGATCTGGTGCTGTCAGAAGCAAAGATGTAGTTGATGGACTCATAAGACAGATCCCACACCTGAGACTGGGTCAATTTAAATGTTTCAGCTGCGAGTTGGTACTCTTGAGAAAGGCATGTTGCAAAAACACCCTTATCATCAGTCTGCAAAGAGAAACAAGAATGTTTCAAAATAAAGAAGTAAATGAGTTTTTTTTAGAAATAACTTTTTTGGTTTAAAATATATTTTCCAATTTACCCTGCTTTTTTTTTTTTTAAGACTGAATGAGGGCTATAAAATTTGTTTCTATGCCTACCTATAACAAGGGATTTTTTTATATTTAAAAAATATCAGAGCAGTGTTTCAACCTCAGATGCATAATAAACTCACCTAGAAAGCTTTTAAAACATATCCATGCTCAGGGCTTACTCTAGATCAAATAAAGCAGAACCTCATGGGATGGAAGGTGGGCCTCAAGTTCCCCAGGAAGGGGTCCAGAACCCCTTCCCACAGAGCCGAGCAGGAGTTGCCCGGATCTTCTACAGCCTCCAATGGCCTCATACCCTCTAATTCTCCTTCCTGGGCATTACCCTCGGATACTCAAGGCAGTCAGCTAGGTAGTGAAAATGCAACCTAATTCAATGCAGTAAATAAAAATGAGCAAAATAGTTCACATAAAACACCTTACACAGATCACAGATGGATGAGAAATGCTGTACCAGAATCCGAAGTGGTGCTGGTCATAAGATGCAACCGTCTGACTTTTGATGTTTGAAGTCAAACAGAGTTCTAAATGAAAGTGGAAAAAAATCAGGTAAGTGAACTCACTGAATGAGAACTCAAGAGAAATCTTTCCAAAGCAAGCTTATTTGCACTACTATTACTATGTTTACAGACTTGATCATTCCTTATTTTTGTTCAGGAAGAATATGCTGTACTTACGGTAGCATCTGTACCAGCCGAGAGTTAATACAGCCTTTCCAGCCAGGTGTTTCCCTATCTTTTACCACAGTGGAGAGGAATGTTACAAGCCAGTCATGATGAACAACGCAGGGAATTATCATGAAAGCAGATTTTTTTTTACCATATGGGGAATTGAAACCAGGATCATCACACTGAGCTTCATCTCTAGCCCTATTTATTTATTTGCTTATGTATTTTGTTTTTTGAGACAAGGTCTCATTATACTGCAGGCTGGCCTCGGAATCACAGTGATCCTCCTACCTTAGCCTTCTGAGTGCTGGAATTATAGGTGTGCACATGAAGCCTAATTTATTTTTTATTTCGAAACAGGATTTTGCTGAATCTCACTGTCTTACTTTTCTCTAGTTGCTGCGACAGAATACCCAACATCCAAAGTTAGAGGAAAGGTGTATTTAGCTCACAGTTTAATAAAGTTTCAGTTTGTACTTGGTTGGCTCCAAGGCAGGGTGGCACACAGCAGAGGGGCCACAGTTCATGGCAGTAGAATACAGCAATAGCAATGGGCCTGAAACAAGCCTGTTTTTGTCCCTTATGTTGTATCCAGTTCATGGGAAATAGGATGGTGCCAATCCAATCAGTGGCCTGATCCCACAATCATCCACCCTTAATCCCATCACCCTTAATCCCAGCACTGCACTATGCATCAATCAGCCACCTCCAAAAAAACCCCCCTATAACCTTGTAAGGATTTGAGGGAACATCTAGACACAAACAGTAACAGTCACTAAATTGCCCAGATTGGGTTTGAACTTGTGACACTACCTGAGCCTCCCAGAGCTCTAGGATTACAGGTGTGGACCACCATGCCTCGCAGCAAAGGGTTTTTGAAGACCTAGTACAATTCCTCCTAGTCTTACACTGGAGACCAAAACAAAGGTAAGAAAATGATAGTGTTGCTTATCAATCAGTCATAGCACTGCAAAGAGCAAAGAACGGACATGGACCTTTCCATGGCTTCTAAGGCAACAGAACATATCTGCCCAGACCACGCTCCATTCACTGCCTGTTGCTTCTATGTAAGTCTTAGTTTAAGAATGACTTTTACTACTAACAAATTCCTACCTGAAACACTGTGTCGCTCCACGGTAAAATGCGGCAGTTAACTTAACCAAAGCTCTCTGCTCACTTAGGCAAGGCAGCCTCAACACAGGCCACTCAGTCCAAGTGATGATTTCACCTCACTGGGAGCAGAGCTGGGCTGCCACACCACCTACGAGCTCTAGGAAAGACCTCTCTGTTCCTTCTACTTTTGTGAACGTTTAAAAATCTTAGTAAAAAAACTTTATACTTATTATGAATTCACAAAAACTTCTACAAGGAGTTAAAAAAGCATAGTCACCAAATATTTTCATAAATTAGTGAGTTTATAAATTCAGCAAATTGACCATTTAGTGAAGTGGTTTGCAGCCAATCACTTGTTTCCACTATGGAAACACTCACTTTTATTCTTCAGAAAGAAGATGATTATCTGATCACTCCTGTATTATCTTGTTTAATTTTCCTCATAGAATTCAACACCGATATTTTCTTGTGTATTTGTTCATTGTCTTTCCTCTGCTATATTATGAGTTCCTGTGAAAGAAACTCCATCTGTTTTGTTCACAGCCTTATTTCCAGCAATTAGAGCAGTGATTTTAACAGTAAGCACTTTGGGCAGCCTTTCATTCGGGACCCCTCCTGTCTCTCGGGAGCTATTCCTAGTCCTCATTTCCCTTGTCGAATAAATTTTCCTGCTTGAAAAAAAAAAAAAAAAAAAAGCACTTTATAAACACACCACAGTCAAATACATAATGGTCAGTGGACATGTACAATATATTTGCATTTTTCCATAATTCTAAATTTTGAAATATTACCTATTTTCCCAACACATGTTGATTTTATTCAAGTCAACTTCAAAATTTTCGATGACCCTTACTCCTTCAGAAAAGAAGTACTGAATCCTAACCACGGCAGATTATAGCAGTAAAAGGCAGGCAGCCTCCTCTCAGGGAGCACACAGTCTAATGGAAGCTGAAACTTTACTTAAATGAGGCTCAGAAAGCACATACAACAAGTGTTTGACTTTCTGAATGATATTTATAATTTTTGTGTGTGTGTGTGCATTTGGTACAGGGTCTCACTACGCAGCTCAGACTCCTGGTGATCCTCCTGTTTTCAGCCTCCCTAGTGCTTGGATTACAGGTGTGTGCCATTATGCCTGGAATTGGTCTCCAGCTCAGCCGCCAGGGGGTGGTGAGCAGGTGTGGCATGCAGTATTGGGGATCAAACCCCTGTCCCTGCACTTGCCTAAGCAGGTGCTTAAGTCAACTGAGCTATCCTGATGGCCTGATATTTATAATTTTACATCAGCACTCCTTTACTTCCAGCTTGCCACCTGGGGCTGGGGAGGAAGGCTTAGGGGCTGCTGTCTGGGAAACCTGAAACTTACCCAGTGGTATCTGATGCTGCCTCACAAAGTTCACCAGATCCAGGGATCCTCTTTCAGAGGAGTTCAGAAATGTTCCATGCCCAATTCTGTCAGGAAGGAGATCTAGGAGCATCTGGGTTTCTTCTTTTTGATTTGGAATCTTCAGAAAAGTGAGAAGAGGGGGTATCAATGAACTCTTTTAGTGGTTCTTGAAGTTCTGTTTTCTATAGTGGATCCCTTATCCCTGTGATTAATTAATGCAGACTTTTTTTGTATGTGTTTTGTCCTGAGAGAGGGTCTTACTGTATAGCTCACAATGGCCTCAAACTCATGGCCCTTCTCCTGCCTCAGCCTCCCAAATGTTGGGATATAAGAATGTGCCACCATGCCTGGCTTGACATTTTTAGAAAGCTAAACTACTCATACTACTCTCCTAGCTTTTGTCTTTGACTTTGCTTTGTTTTTTCATTTTTGTTTTTATTTTTATGCTTTATTTGTTGGTACAGTGATTGAGCTAAGGGCTTCCCTCATGCCAAGCCTAAACTGTACCACTAAGCTATATCTTCAGCCCCTTCTGCCCTTTATCTTATTCATTCCTAAACATTCTTCTGAATTGTTAGTAACAATAAAAATTTGCCAAGGCTATTTTGTTCTTTTTTCACATCAATTCCTTAAAGCCTCACAAGAATCTTATCAAGTGTTAAAATGAGAACAGTAAAGCTCAGAAAAAGTCTTTTTCAAAAATCAAAACAAAATCTTACAACTCTGTATGTATATTTTGTATTGTATACCTATGTTCATTAATATTAGAAAAAGGTCTAGAAAAACAGACACTATCAACAGTATTAACTCTGGGGAGTTAACAGGAAGGGGGCTTCACATCTAAAAATTTTTTCTGTGTAATACTCTTACAGTTATGGTTTAGATCAAGAAGATCCCTTAAAGGTCTCATGCACTCATAGATGGGGCTTTTGGAAGCATCTGAATTATGGGCACACTATACCATCTAACCACTAGGAGGTAACTAGGGTTAGAGGCAGGTTATTAGAGCTGTGATAGAGCTACTTTCACAGACCTCCCTTTTTTCTTTTTTTTTTCATTGGTATTTTTTTTTCCCTCAATCAGATTTTATTCGTACATTTTATATATACCTAATGATCACATTTATCATAGAATTAATACCTATACATAATATAACTTGATTCTTTTTTCCAATTTCAGTACCCTTCAAACCCTTCTCAAAGAGCAATCTCAGTTTTGCTTTATTTTTTTTTATTTTTTATTTATTTATTTTATTTTATTTTATTTTTTTGCTTTATTTTTATGAGGGAAGAGCAAAAAGCTCCACTTGTACAGAAAACTAATATTTACAAGACACATAAATTAGAAAATGATTAGTGACAATAGCATAACCTTAAATCCTCTCCCTTTTTTCTGTTTCCTGGCCCCCATGACATGAACAGCTTTTCCTCTGTTAGGCCCTTCTGCCAGGTGGTTGTCTGCCTTGAAGCCAGTCAACCATGAACCAAACCAACCTCTTTTAAGTTGTGTATGTCAGGTAGTATGTCTCAGTGACAAGAAAGTGACTACCAAAATACCTACACTTGAAATTTTTTCAGTTACATACAACTTTTAAACAAGTATTTTTAAAAAAAATCATCTAAGGTCATAGAGCTAGTGAGTGGTAAAGACAGGTAAGATCTAACTCCATCTGACACTTCCCACACCATGCTCATGTTTTATCTTGATAAGGCTAGCTACAGACATACCACAGTTGCCATAAAAATGTCTAGCTGTGCTCTTTTTTCTCCTACACAGCCCCAAAACAAATGCTTAGAACATCATGAAATGCAATTATTTTATATCTGATGAATCAAACAAGCAAAACAACAGAAAATAAGGTAAATGGGTACCAAAGCTATGCACAGGCCAGAGATAACTTGTCATAGTAACACATGCTATTCTACTTTACTGACCAGTAACTTCTACTGGGCACTGCCTACGTGAGCTAGAAGGTTTCTTATGAGTCTGTTTTATTAGACTGTAGAAACATGAACTATAGATTTTAAGTTCTGCCACTAGATTAAAGATTACTGACCTGCTTGCAGGAAAAAGGTTCTAATTTCTTAATCTTTATACCATGATGGTACTCAGCCTTTTTATATTACCCCATTTAACAGTCACAAGAAGTTTAGTAAAGAAGCATAGTAAGTCTTATTTTCTGCATATTAGAAATAGCTAAAAATACTGAGGTAGAAAAAAATTCATCAATAAAATAAGGAAAAGAACAATAGAGGTCCTTATTTCCCTCACAGGGATGTGCTTAAGAAAAATATGTGTTTCTAGTCGTTATCCATCTGCTGTCATTGTCCTCATGGTATCACAAAGCTAGGGACCAATGAAGAACAGTAGGTTTCCTTTCTAAGCCCCCTCCTCAACTCTGGGCCATCTTGAGCTTTATTTTATGATGATTAGCTATTTTATTGCCAGTGTATGTCATACATTTAGGTCTGTCCTATTATGAAGACAGGTAAGGTGAACTGGTACTTTTTCTTAAGAGTTAGCTTATGAATGACAAGGCTGGTGGTGAAAATTCAAACAGCTTCTATAGCAAGATGTCATGAAGATCTCTGTAATTACACAGCTGGAATTCAAGTCAACAGCCACTCCCACGAACCACAAAAAGCTTAAAACAGTAAACAAGAGACTAAAGTAAGTAATGTATTATCATTTTAATTTACATTTAAAAATAATTCTGTGTTCCCCCTTTAAAAATGTTCTCCTAAGCCAGGTTTATTTTTAGTTACTTGAACGAAACCCTACTGTTTTCTGTCACAATCTTCCCTCTCCAGCCTAAGACAGCACTGCTTACCTCTGAAAGATGCAATGCCAACTTCAGGCCTGCTTTTTTAGCTTCTAAAAGTGGTTCCAAGAAGTCTTTTGCTTGTCCTATCTTGAAAAGTTAAAACGAAAACGCATGAGAATTCTGAGCAAACTGAAGAACTGGGTATCTCTGCTCCAATAAACAAAAGAATAAAATAACAGCACAAAAAAATAAAGATACTGATTTATTTGCATATTTTGTTTGTGATGCACTCCTAAGGTGCTAGCTACTTTGGGGAATAAAACGCTGGCAAAGGCAGAGTCCCTGCTTTTAAGAATTTTTCTTTCTTCTTTTTGTCTTTTTGAGACAGGGTCTCACTACACAGTTCAGGCTGGTCTTGAGCTCACTTTACAGCCCAGGCTGGTCTCAAACTCACAGTGATACTCCTGCCTCAGTTTCCCAAGTGCTGGGTGGGATTATAGGCATGCACCACCATGCCCAGCTATTATAATCCTTAAGTCCATTGTCAGTGCACCTCAGGTCAATCACTTAAGCTGGATACAACAATCGCCAAATTTTATTTCTGGAATAAGACCTAGATATTTAGTGCTAAATACAACTTGCTTGATTCAGGAACCTTATGTAAGCATTAAAATTAGTAAATATGGGGCCGGGGAGACAGCTCAGCAGAATAAGCACTTGCCTGGCAAGCGCAAGGGCCTGAGTTCAATCCCCAGTTCCACCAAAAAAAAAAAAAAAAAAAAAAAACCAGCCCACAAAAAACTAGTAAATAGGTAGATATTAGGTTTAGACAAAGCCATCAGCACCAGCTTCATGGGCCTCCCTCGTTCAGTGGTTTTCAACCAGGAATAATTATGTGATCCAGGGGACATTTGTCAAGGTCTGGAAAATTTCCCATTTCTTACTAGGAGGGTGTTACTGGCACCTAGTGGGCAGAGATTAAAGCATAAGGCTGTCCCCAAAAGAAAAAAGTCTGACCAGGAATATCAAGACTTCTTTTTGGAGCTTTCACTTCAGAAACTCCAGTCAACTTTTTTGAACTGGGGGGCAATTCTGTGAACTAATTAAGCCTTTAATGCCCTAAGACATTCCCCCACTGTATATAATGAATTAACTTCTCTCGTGTACATACATACTGGAACTACCCATGTACTATCTTTAACAAAATGGAGAAAATGGCCAGATAGAAAAGTATTTTTTTTAGGGTGCTTTATTCTTTCAGACTCCTGGTTAAGAACAGCTGCTCTAGACATTCAGTTCATTGAAGACAGAAAAGCATCTGCTGGACTTTCTGGAGAATCAAGATGCTATAAGTTAATCTTTACCCCACTAATTTGACCTTTAAAAAATAAAATACATTTAGGAAAAATTACTTACAGTAGGATCTCCACTGAAGTCAAGGCCAAGAACAGTATCCCCAGCTGAAAGGTAGAATTCTTTAGCAAGTTTAACAGTCTCCTTGGCTACCAAAGAGCCACCTCTTCTATCAATTGCTATCAGATACCTTTAATATAAGAAAAACATAGTTGTAAATGAAAAAGACAATTCTGAGTATGGCTCATCAGAGGCTGCATGTAATACAGGTTATAGCCTGAGTCAAGACAGCACATTTTATTTGCCAGACAGAACGAGACATGAATTCCTAAATACTAGGGACAGTACCTTGCCACTGTTTAAGTTTCCAGTTGTTACAATTTGTTTAAGCATTTGTCTTTTCCCAGTTTGACTGAGGATCTTTTTTTTTTTCAAAGTTTTATTGATAAACAGATAGCAATGAGACAGTTTCAAATCAAATCAGAAGTACAGTTTCAACAAATAATACACTGCATATATT